AGGAATGGTGTTATTCCTCGAGTAATATTCTTGACGTTTCGTCCACGAGAATATTACCGTCGAGTGCCTTTGACATCACGAGGACTGTGATCACTGTTGCTGTCACGCCGTGATATTTCGTTTATATTCATGTATTTTGTGGGAATGAAAAAAAAAACAATGCCCGATTGTAATTTTTTTGTTTTTAATTCTCGTGATTTTGGTTGTATTTTTTAAATTATTTATCATAAGTTGTTATATCGTCAGAAAAGCATGCAATTTTTTGACGGAAACTCCATGGGATGAATTTGTGGAACTCAGACAAGGTGTATTTATTTGAGGAATACAGTGAGTTACTGATATCCATATACGCCTTGTGACAAACACAATTTATCGCTTAACCCTTTGGAGTACGTAATTTGCATTTAAAAATTGCTCTAGAAACACATTCCTTTAACTTGTAGGAATTAAAATTAGCTTTCACACGATCAACGGTGACCAATGATTCAGAGCCGAAGTGATGCAAACGAATCTAATTGTTGTTCAGATTCTGTTTCCAACCACGAAATTCGTTAACGATTCCAGACATAGGAATCGGAGAGCAGAACCATGCTGACAGCCAATGACGTGATGGAATGACTGTGTGGTTCGGGTTATACTGCTGGTGGTGCCTTAGAGGATCACCTGGACCGGGAAAGTTCATTTCAGAATTCGTCAAGGCCGAATTTTCAGACATACAGATTTTTCAATTGTGGAACTTGGCTGCAGTAAGGCTTGAAATGTAAACCAGTCCTATCTACATGAGTAATGCGACGTTTGCCTGAAAGGAATCCTGCCTTGCAATCTTCGCTGAAATGGGATTATCATCATTATTTGCTACTTTATTGAATAGCAAATCCTCTCCTTTGAGCGAGCCTCTATGCAGGTTGCTCCAGTTGCCAAAAATAATTTTAATTTCCATGGAATTTTCACATGAAACGAATTTTTTAAGGATCAAAATTTGTGACCTGCTGAAAACGATATGAGGGATTTCGACATTAATTTCTCCGAGAATCTCAACTAACGGGTTGTGAAACTTCGCAATTTGCTACAGTGAAACCTGGGGATTCGGCCACCTTGATATTGCGGTCAGAAGACCTCAGCCACAATCTTTAGCTCCATAGGCTCAATCTTAAAATCACCTGTTTTATCCGGCCACCTGTCTAACGTGTCCAGCGGACAAGGATTTGCAGACCCTCTGTGCTGGATACTCTTTAATCTGGCCAGAACACCGAACGGAAAAAAGATCGAAGGTTCATTTTCTTCTATTTATTTCCCTGCATTTCAGTCAGAATTCGGAAAGAGAGTTATCTCCCTCCTCCGTTTCTCCCCCCCCCCCCTCCCTAATCCCCGTATTGGCCCGTCTCTTGCCTGTCAAGGTCACATCGCAGTTTCCACAAAGAGAGAACGATCTTAAGAGTGCTACCGAAAACGTTTGCTCAAAATCCTCATTTCTCGCATGGATGAATGCGATTAAGTCAGCGATCTCTCCAAGAAGCTCAGCGTCGTTGATGCTGTGTACGGACTCTCAGCAGATTGGAATGCTGTAAGCAGTGAAACTATCCAAAAGTGCTACAAGAATTGTAGTTTTTGGAGTCTGAACAAAATCACGCTGTCTGTTCCCGAGGACAACCTTGTCATTGACTTTCGGTTGGAAGAAAAGAAAACCTGCTCCTGGAGATCTTCCCCATTGACACGAATTCTGCTGACTTCTCACTGGACGATTCCTTGCTTAATTGCGAGAGCTTTGAGCAAGGGGATTGGGAGACCAACGTTCCGCATCTTTTTGAACCTGCTACTGCTGAGACCAGGGGGATAAGGAAGAAGCAGAGGATGGATCTGAGAAACCGCTGCCTGTTTTACAAGACCTTGGGGAAGCATTGAATGTCACGGAGAAGCTGAGGTGCTTTTTTGCAGAGAAAGGCATGCATGAGTCCGTAGAAGCAATCACGATGATTCAAGAATCTCTTCGGGAGCGAGTGTTGTTAAAAAAAAAATGCACGCACGTCAAGGGAAGATTCAAGACTTCTTTACAAAGATATAATGGTATCTAAATTTCTCTCTGCGTACATCTTTTACTTGAAATCCGACAAAATCGGAATTATAGTACCTCTGGAGTAAAGAGTGTTCAATTTTCCTGTAAAACTGACTGATGACTGCTTCACTCAATTGGAAAAAGGGAAAATAGAATCCCCCTCTTAAGGGCGGCCAACTGTCAGAACCGGCCAAGTTTTGAAACTCCCCCTCTTGGCCGCATTACACAGGTTTCACGGTAGTAATGAAAGATCGCAAGTGACTCACGGATCCTCCGCTTCTAGTGATGAGGACGCAGGCGATGGCTTGTAGGACTTGGAGCATGCTGTCCGAATATCACCAAGCTGCTAGGATGTGGACGTGGAAATGAGACATCTTCCAGAGCCCGAAACGATTCTACATTGAACCATGGTCATAATTTCACGTTTTTATAGCATCTTAGTATATTTATTTATTTATTTTCCCTTTAGCAACCTGGCATCAAAATGTCCATATCTTCCCTCACAGGTGAAATTTCCTAAGCAGATGAATCAGTGGAATCGCCCCGACGTCGAACTTTTCGCCCGCAGATTCCATTGAAAAAAAATTAAAAACTCTCTGGGGGATTCCCGGGGAGATCGAGACTCGATGGCGAGAATACATCTTCGGATTGCACAGGATGTCGCTCCGGTATCAGCCGTCGATCGAGAGCATCGACTACTGGCATCTGTCGGTGTTCGTGCGGTACTTCCTGCCGACGATGCTGGGGGTGCTGTTCGTGATGGCAGCGCCGCGGTTGCGGGACTGGGTGTTCGCGCTGGTGCACCAGTACGTGACGGGGAGGGCGGACCCGGAGGTGAAGGGACTCAAGTCGCGGCTGTTTCACGGGTTGGGGGCGCTGAAGTCGGGGGACCCGGAGTTGAGGAAGGCGGGGAGGATCAGGATCCTGGAGGTCGGGGCGGGGACGGGGGTGAACTTTCAGTTCTTCCCGGGGGACTGCCGGTTGGTGGTGGTGGACCCGAACCCGAACTTCCGGCGGTACTTCGAGAAGAACCGGGACGAGTACGCCGGGATGGAGTTAGAGGCGTTTCACACGGTGAAGGGCGAGGACATGCGGCCGGTCGGGAGCGGGAGCGTGGACGCGGTCGTCTGCACCAACGTCCTCTGCAGCGTGGACGAGACCCAGCGGTTCCTGTCGGAGGTACTGAGAGTACTGGTACCCGGCGGGAAGTTTTACTTCTGGGAGCACGTGCGGGATCGGAGAAACAGCTGGCTCCGAGTCGTCCAGGATCTACTGGCTTGGACCTTCGTGTGGTCGTGGGTCGGGGGCGGGTGCGTGCCGAATCGGAATCTCGTGCCGGAGTTGAAGAAGGCTGGTTTCTCGCAGTTGGAGTGTCGGATGTTTCTGCTTCCCATTCAGGAGCCGGTCTTTTCTTTCAGGGGATTTGTGCTCAGGGTCGTGAGGCCGCACGTGAGGGGGGTTGCCACCAAGTGAGATCATGTGCGAGTGGTGTTATCGATGGGTGAGGGCCAGTGTGAGAGGAATTGCCATCGAATCAGGACTCACCTCGATGGTATTGCCTTCCTGCGAGGACTTCCTTCAGCAGGAGTTGTTATTTCCTTCTGGGATCAAGATATTCCACCGAACATCGTAGCGGTCATGTGTGAGATGTAGCCAATATTCGTTTGAGGAATGGTGTTATTCCTCGAGTAATATTCTTGACGTTTCGTCCACGAGAATATTACCGTCGAGTGCCTTTGACATCACGAGGACTGTGATCACTGTTGCTGTCACGCCGTGATATTTCGTTTATATTCATGTATTTTGTGGGAATGAAAAAAAAAACAATGCCCGATTGTAATTTTTTTGTTTTTAATTCTCGTGATTTTGGTTGTATTTTTTAAATTATTTATCATAAGTTGTTATATCGTCAGAAAAGCATGCAATTTTTTGACGGAAACTCCATGGGATGAATTTGTGGAACTCAGACAAGGTGTATTTATTTGAGGAATACAGTGAGTTACTGATATCCATATACGCCTTGTGACAAACACAATTTATCGCTTAACCCTTTGGAGTACGTAATTTGCATTTAAAAATTGCTCTAGAAACACATTCCTTTAACTTGTAGGAATTAAAATTAGCTTTCACACGATCAACGGTGACCAATGATTCAGAGCCGAAGTGATGCAAACGAATCTAATTGTTGTTCAGATTCTGTTTCCAACCACGAAATTCGTTAACGATTCCAGACATAGGAATCGGAGAGCAGAACCATGCTGACAGCCAATGACGTGATGGAATGACTGTGTGGTTCGGGTTATACTGCTGGTGGTGCCTTAGAGGATCACCTGGACCGGGAAAGTTCATTTCAGAATTCGTCAAGGCCGAATTTTCAGACATACAGATTTTTCAATTGTGGAACTTGGCTGCAGTAAGGCTTGANAACCGCTGCCTGTTTTACAAGACCTTGGGGAAGCATTGAATGTCACGGAGAAGCTGAGGTGCTTTTTTGCAGAGAAAGGCATGCATGAGTCCGTAGAAGCAATCACGATGATTCAAGAATCTCTTTGGGAGCGAGTGTTGTTAAAAAAAAATGCACGCACGTCAAGGGAAGATTCAAGACTTCTTTACAAAGATATAATGGTATCTAAATTTCTCTCTGCGTACATCTTGTACTTGAAATCCGACAAAATCGGAATTATAGTACCTCTGGAGTAAAGAGTGTTCAATTTTCCTGTAAAACTGACTGATGACTGCTTCACTCAATTGGAAAAAGGAAAAAAAATTCCCCTCTTAAGAGCGGCCACTTGTCAGAACCGGCCAAATTTGGAAACTCCCCCTCTTGGCCGCATTACACAGGTTTCACGGTAGTAATGAAAGATCGCAACTGACTCACGGATCCTCCGCCTCGAGTCATGAAGACGCAGGCGATGGCTTGTAGGACTTCCAGCATGCTGTCCGAATATCACGAAGCTGCTAGGATGTGGACGTGGAAATAAGCCATCTTCCAGAGCACGAAACGATTCTACATTGAACCATGGTCATAATTTCACGCTTTTAAATCATCTTTGTATATTTACTTATTTATTCTCCCTTTAACAACCTAGCATCAAAATGTCCATTTCTTCCCTCTCAGGTGAAATTTCCTAAGCAGGTGAATCAGTGGAATCGCCCCGACGTCGTTCGTTTCGCCCGCAGATACCATTGAAAGAAAAAAAACTCTCTGGGAATTCCCGGGGAGATCGAGACTCGATGGCGAGGGACATCTTCGGATTGCACAGGATGTCGCTCCGGTATCAGCCGTCGATCGAGAGCATCGACTACTGGCATCTGTCGGTGTTCGTGCGGTACTTCCTGTCGACGATGCTGGACGGAAACTCCATGGGATGAATTTGTGGAACTCAGACGAGGGGTTTTTCTTTCAGGAATTTAGGGAGTTTTTTGAGATCCATCTATGGCTTGTGAGAAACACAATTTATCGCCTAACCCTTTCGAGTACGTAATTTGAATTTTAAAAATTGCCCTAGAAACACACTTCTTTAGCTTGAACGAATTAAAATTTTCTTTCACTCGATCAAAGGTGACCTATGAATCAGAGCGGATGTGATACAAACAGATCTAGTTGTGGTACAGATCCTATATCCCCCCCAAAAAATGTACATTAATTTTTCCAAACATACGAATAGTAGAACTGAATCCTGTTGACATCAAGTGACGTGATGGAATGACGATGTGGTTCGGGTTATACTCCAGGTAGTAGTGGAGATGATCACCCGGAACGGGAAAGTTCATTTAAGAATTCGTCAAGGCGGAATTTTCTGTCAAGTCGAGTTTTCAATGAAAAATTTTTTTTTTTCAATTGTGGAATTGGCTGCAGTAATACTTGGAATGTTATCAGCTTCATACACATGAGTAATGCGACGTTTGCCTGAATGGAATCCTGCTTTGCAATTCTCGCAGAAATGTGATTATCATCGTTAATTGCTCTTTTATAGAATTGTAAAGCCTGTCCTAAAAGCGAGCCTCCATGCTGGTTACTCCACAGACCAAATATCATTTTAATTTCCATGGAATATTTTTTAAGCACCAAAATTTGCGACCTGCGAAAAGGATAGGAGGCATTTCAACATTAATTTCTCAGAGAAACTCTACTAACCGGTTGTGAAGCATTGAAACTAGCTTGTAGTGAAGAATCGCAAGTGACTCACGGATCCTCCGCCTCCAGTGATGAGGACTCAGGCGATGGCTTGTACAATGTCGAGCATATTCCCTCCGAATATCACCTGCGTGCATGGCTGCGGACGTGGAAATGAGGCTTCTTCCGGAGAAGGAAACGATTCTCCTTTTGAACCACGGTCGTAATAGCACATTTTTATTCCTTGTTAGCCCATTAATTAATTACTTTTCCCTTTTGCAGCCTGTCATCATTATGTCCTTATATTTCCTCTTAGGTGAAATTAAGAAAAAGAATCCTTGGAATCTTTTGAAATGTGCGTTTTGGGAGGAGATTCTATTGTAAGAAATAAATTTGTTCGAAATTTCCTTCGAGTTCAATGGTAGATTTCATCTTCGCATTGCCCAGAATGTCGTTCCAGTATCAGCCCTCGAAAAAAACCACCGTCTACCGGCATGTGTCGGTGTTCGTGCTGTACTTCCATCCAACGGTGCTGTGGGTGTTGTTTGTGATAATAGCGCCGCGGGTGCGGGAATAGGTGTTCGCGCAGGGGCACCAGAACGTGACGAGGGAGGGCGGACCCGGAGGTGAAGGGACTCAAGTCTAGGCTGTTTAACGGGTTGGGGGCGCTGGAGTCGGGGACCAGGAGATGAGGAAAGCGGGGAGTTTGAGGAAGTTCACACGGTGACGGACAAGGACATGCGGCCGGTCGGGAGCGGGAGCGTGGACGAGGTCGTATGCACCAACGTCCTCTGCAGCGTGGACGAGTCCCAGCGGTTCCTGTCGGACGTACTGAGAGTACTGGTACCCGGCAGGAAGTTTTACTTCTGGGAGCACGTGCGGGATCGGAGAAACGGCTGGCTCCGAGTCGTCCAGGATCTGCTGGCTTGGACCTTCGTGTGGTCGTGGGTCGGGGGCGGGTGCGTCCCGCAACGGAAACTAGTGCCGGAGTTGAAGAAGGCTGGTCTCTCGCAGTTGGAGTGTCGGATGTTTCTGCTTCCCATTCAGGAGCCGGTCTTTTCTCTCAGGGGATTTGTGCTCAGGGTCGTGAGGCCGCACGTGAGGGGGGTTGCCATCAAGTGAGCACTTGTTTGATTGGTATATTATCATTAGGTGAGGGCTAGTGTGAGAGGAATGGCCTTCAAAAGAAGACTCACCTCAATTGAATTGTCATCATGGGAGGTCTCGTATCTGTGGAATTGCCATCTTTTGAGGACTTAAGTCTGTAGGAATAGTTATTTCCTCCATCTCTAATTAATATCGGAACAACTTCGGGGATCAAAATGTGTCATAACATATCGTAGTGTTTGTGAGTGAGATGTAGCCAATATTCATTTGAGGAGTGGTGTTATTCCTCAAGTTATATTCCTGACGTTTCGTTCACGAGAATATTACCATTGAGTGCTTTTTGACACCATGACTGTGATCATTGCTGCTTTCACGCCGTGATATATTTAATAAATATTCATGTGTGTTGTGGGAATGAAAAACAACAAATCTCAATTGCTACTTTTGGCCAATAATTCCCTGTATTTTGGCTGTTTCAGTCAAATATTTATTTGAAGTCGTGATTTCTCCATTAAGTATCCAATTTTATGACGGAAACTCCATGTATTGAATTTAGCGAACTCAAAAGAGGTTTATTTATTTTGGGAATACAGTTAGTTTCCAACAACCATTTTTGGCACTTACCAAACATCACTTAAACCTTTTGAGAGCGTAATTTGAATTTAAAAAATTGCCCTTGATTCACACTTCTTTTACTTTTAAATATTGAAATTGACTTTCACACGATCAACGGTAACTAATAAATCAGAGCGGAAGTGGTACATATGTTGTATCCAAAAAAATTTCATTAACGATTTCGTACATGTGTCATGTACTCAAACGGGTTTTGCTATCTTTTTGTGACTCCTTTCGCCCCTTTTCGTCCTCGCCATCGGGCATGAACCCAAGCCCCCTCACCTTGGGCCGGAGGGCTACTTTCTCCGGCCAGCTTTGCCCTTAAATTGGGGAGGTCCCTCGATATTCGAGATTCACAGAGCATTCCCCGGGCATTCCCCAGGTGGATCTTCCACTCCTCGGCAGTGCATTTCGAGTGTCTCTCATCACTTCCCGAAAGCAACAGAACCCAATGCTACTACCACTTCTTCCACATTCTGGTGACCTCCACTAGGCGGATAATATGTCCGAAAACTATTAAACCTTGTGCAAATGGTAGCAAGTGTATTTCCTTTCATTACAATGCAAATACTGCTCACGTGAGGCTTGGCGCTGAACCTATTCCAACGTCTGCCCGCTACATTAGCAGCAAACGAGTCAACGCTACCCATTCTCTCAACAGCACCATAAAAGCCTCATACGTGACATATACGAATTGGAGAGATGAATTCTGCTGATAGCCTGAGATAGGTGGGTGGGTGCAAGACAGCCAGTGACCGTGGCTCTGGTTGCTGTGGCTTGGGTTATTGTCGTCGAGGTTGTGGTAGTAATGATCGCCTAGAACAGGAAAATTCAATTTAAAATTCTTGAAGTTCGAACTTCGAGAGGAATTTTTTTTCGCATGAAATTGATAGATTTCTCTATTATTGAACTGGCTTCGGTAATACTTGATATTTTATTAGTATTACCCAAAAGAGTAATGTTATGTTTGGCTCTGTGGAATCCTGCTATGTAATCCTAGCTGAAATGGGATCATCATCATTATTTGCCATTTTAATGAAAAGAAAATCCTGTCCTATTGCGAGTCTCCTTGCCATTCCTTCCAGTTTCCGAATATTAATTTTATTTTCGATGAAATTTCTCGATGATGAAAAGGAAAGAAAATAATTCAACTGAATAAATGAATGCGAGATGTAGAAAACGTTTGCGATATTACAACCTAATTTCCGATCTCAACTAGCTGGTTGTGAAGGATCGCAGCCAGCTGGCAGTGAAGGATCGCAAGTGACTCACGGATCCTCCGCCTCTTGGGATGAGGACGCAGGCGATGCCGTGTCCGATGTCGAGCATATTCCCTCCGAATATCACCTGGCTGGTCGGTTGTGGACCTGGGAAAAAGGCTTTAGCTTCTTACTGAGCATGAAACAATTGTTCTCAGTCCATTGTCCTAACAGCACGTTCCAAGGGACTATTGTTCTAATAACATGTTCCCAGGGGCCATTGTCCGTGTAACAATGCCTAGAGGCCATTATTAGTTGGGAATGCCTTGCCTCAAATATTGATTGATAATCAATATTCTGATATATTGATTGCTCATCAATTTCCCGAGATATTGATTGCTTATGGATGTAAGGTGACAGCCTCTCGAAAAATGAAACATGCTTGACTTCTTTTGTTCTAAAAAAAAACAAAATGTTTAGGGAAATGTCTTTATTTCTCTTAAATTGCCCATTTGACATAAAGCTTCTGCACTGATTCCTTGAAAAATTGATCAGTCCTGTAGCAAGAGGCGGATGCTTTCATTTTTCCTTGTTTACCCAGTCGAAGCTATCATAGGAAGATGACTCACGATATTATGACATACGTGAAGCATTTCCAGACTCATCAGACTTCAATCCGTGGAGTTGTCATGGAGAGAAAATACATATGTATCATCTGCGCATCTTTCACAATTGGGAATTGAGACGTTGAACAATGCTATGCACGGGGTCCATTCTAAAAAAAAATTCCAAAAACTAAAGTTGAGAATGAGAATGGTGATTCACTAACTGAAATAATTATGCGATTGTCATTTTGTATAATACCAGCAGAAGTACCCGGAGTTGCACGGGTGAATATTATATATGTCCATTATTTGAGGGTTTAAAATTGTCGTAATGCCTCTTTGGCAAACACAGCAAGATATTGTTTAAAATATGTAATTTTACTACTACTACAAATGGAGAAATCCAGTCGCTAGCTGCAAGTTACTTCTTACATTTTGTTACTGAGCCCCCCAAATTTTGGTCTGTAGTAGCGAACCAGTCGGATCTAAACTAAATAGAGTACCTGAGGGGGTGGGAATTTCGAAACGCCTCATAGCCTCTGGACCAAATTTGGTCCCTGGACCAAATGAGGAAGCCATGCAAAGTTTGGTCGAACTGGGATCAGAGGTGTGGCCGTGCATGAATGGCAGACACACACACACATTCTAAGACTTTGAAATTTAATTCTGTATTATAGTCACATGTTTATTTTCCTGCTAACAGCATGACATCATATTTTTTTCTTCTCTCTCAGGTGAATTTCACAAAAAAAGAGACTCAGTGGAATAGCCCTGCCACTTTGCGTTTTGCTCGCAGATTCCGTTACAAAAAAACTCTCTGATTCTCTCTGACTCTCTCGGATTCCCGGGAAGATCGAGCTTCGATGGCCAGAGACATCAGTTGCACAGAATGTCGCTCCGGTATCAGCGGTCGATCGAGAGCATCAACTACTGGCACCTGTCGGTGTTCTTGCGGTACTTCCTGCCGACGATGCTGGGGGTGCTGTTCGTGATGGCAGCGTCGCGGGTGCGGGACTGGGTGTTCGTGCTGGTGCACAAAGACGGGGAGGGAGATCAAGTGAGGTCGTGGGTCGGGGGCGGGTGCGTGCCGAATCGGAATCTCGTGCCGGAGTTGAAGAAGGCTGATTTCTCGCAATTGGAGTGTAGGATGTTTCTGCTTCCCATTCAGGAGCCGGTCTTTTCTTTCAGGGGATTTGTGCTCAGGGTCGTGAGGCCGCACGTGAGGGGGGTTGCCACCAATTGAGCACTTGTGTGAGTGGTATTATCAATGGGTGAGGGCTTGTGTTAGTGGAATTGCCATCTGATCAGGTGTCACCGCAGTGGGATTGTTATCAAATGAGGAATCACCTGAATAGAATTGCCATCGTTTGAGGACTCATGTCAGTGGAATTGTCCTCCAGTGAGGACTTCCTTCAGGAGGAATTGTAATTTCCTCCATCCCCCATTTTCAGTACATTGGAACAACTTCAGGGATATGCCTAAAACGTCATAGCTCTTGTAGGTAAGAAGTAGCCAATATTCATTTTAGGTATGGTGTTATTCTTCGAGTAACTTTCCTGACATTTCGTCCCCAAGGATATTTCCCTTGAGTGCCTTTCAGCGTCAGTCCTCCGTTCAGGAGGACTGTGATCACTGCTGCTGTCACGCAGTGAAAATTTTCGCCCATATGCATGCATTTTGTTGGAATGAAAAATAACCAATCTCAGTTGTAATTTTTGGTTCATAGTTCTCGTGATCATGCCTGTATTACTCAATAATTTATTACAAGTTGTTATTTCGTCATAAAAGCACTCAGTTCTATGACGGAAACTGTAGAGATTGAATTTGGCGAACTCAGACGAGGTGAATATATTTCAAAAATGCAGTTAGTTACCGATATCCATAAACGACCCATACCAAACACGATATATCACTTAACACTTGTGAAAACTAAATTAGAATTCCAAAAATTTCTTTAACTTTAAATTTTAAAATTAGCTTTAACGCGACCAAGGGTAACTTATGAATCAGAGCGGAAGTGGTAAAAATTTTGTATCCCAAAAAATTTTTCTTGAAAATTCCAGGTAAACAAATTGGAGTGCTGAACTATGCTGACAGCTAGTGACCGGTGGGTGGGCAGCTGTGAGTCTTTGACACGTTGGAATCACGGTGTGCCTTGGGTTGTTGTGGCTTGGGTCGTAGTCGAGGTGGTGGTGGTGACGATCACCTAGAATAGAAAATTTCACTTGAAAATTCGTGAAATCTGAAATTCGAGAGGAATGAAAACTTTCTTATGAAAATGTAGGTTTCTCAGTTATTGAGCTGGCTGGTGTAATAATTGCAATTTTGGCAGAACTACCCAAAAGAGAAATGCTACTTTTGGCTTAGTGGAATCCTGCTTCGCAATCCTAGCTGAAATGGGATTATCATCATTATTTGCCATTTTAATAAATCGGAAATTCTGTCCTATAGCGAGTCCTCCAGTTTCCGAAAATTGATTTAATTTCAATGGAATATTTGCTGTATAAACGATGTTATCGAATCAAAATGAATGAAAACGATTGGCGCCATTTCAACCTCATTTCTCCGATGATCTCCTAACTAGCCGGTAGTGAGGATCGCGACTAGCTGGCAGTGAAGGATCGCAAGTGACTCACGGATCCTCCGCCTCTTGGGATGAGGACGCAGGCGATGGCTTGTCCGATGTCGAGCATATTCCCTCCGAAGATCACCTGGCTGCTCGGCTGTGGACGTGGGAAAAAAAAAGCTTTAGCTTCTTCTTGAGCAGGAAACATTTCTCCCTCGAACTATTGTCCTAATAGCACGTTCTCAAAGACGTCTAATAATCTGTTGCCAAAGACTATTGTCCGTGCAATAATGCATAGTGCCGATTATTACTCGGGAATGCTTCGTCCCAAAATCCAACAAGAAATTTTCCATCTCAGCTCGAGGTCAACAGCGTTGTTGCGGATAAACGACCGCCCCGTTGTTAGGATTTGACTCATCATATTGGGGAAGGAAATTCACTTTCCTAATTGTTATTGAAAATTTCCTTCAATTTGATATGAACTTGTTGAGATGTTTAACGCCTGTTAATGTTCATGAGATCGTAACCTTGGCAACATAGCGATGACCTTGATGAAGTTTACTCCAAGGCAACAGCTCCGTGAAGCACTCAGATACCAAAAAATTGCTGCATGATAAAACGAGAAAATTTGGCAAGTGGATTTCTGCATAAAATAATTTTAATAAAAGGTTTTCTTTAACTAATCAATTTATATTAAGGTCTACATGCAAATCGAAGTTGCATTCAAATTCAAAATGTGCAAAATTGTCACTAGATCTCACTCAATTAAATATATATATAGAAATTTCGTCTTTGAAGCAAATTACTTTTCCAAGATCAAATTCAGATTAAAATTTCATGTCAACCCGAGGCTCCATCTAATGGAGATATCCTGGCTCTAATGGATTTCTTGCCGATTTGTTCATCGATCTCGCTTCATTCATTCTTGATTCAGCGTTGTTTGAAGAATCAGGAATCCGACAATCTTCCACATTTTGCTATTTTAATGACCATGCTATGTTATTTTGCGTCTCTCGAATCTATATGCCAAATTTGGTTCCGTTTTGTCCGTGCTGAATATAAATGGCATTCGTGAGTAGCTTGATGCTATGGCCCCAAGGCAGAAATTACCAAGGTCATTTGCTGAATACCCAAGGTCAAAAGTTCAGAAATATTCGTTGGTCTTCAATGACTCATCTGACGTGCCAAATTCAATTTAAAAATCTCATAAACTGCGAAATTGATCGTTGAAGAAAAATCTCTCGAACCCGTGAGTGCTCACCGTGAGAACGTCGGCGCACGAGCCGTACTGACTCCCGAAGAACTGCCGGATGCAATTGGCCATGTTGTTCATGTACGGCGCCGGGCTGAGGAAGTTCAGGAATCCGCCGTTCTGCAAAATTTTAAGAGGCTGAGATCGCCCTGGGGATTTCAGGTGAATAAGGGACTGGACGGAGGATATATGCAGAGTTGATCCAGCGTAGGATCGATGAGATCGATACAGGATCGGTACAGGATCGGTATAGGGGGAATGGGAGAGTCACAAGCCTTTGGGGTCTTTTTTGGTCTTTCTGGGGTCTTTGGGTGGAATCATGAATACCCATTAATTCTGATTTTGGACGTCAGATTTTTCTTCTTGAACTGATGGAACCAAAAATCTGTATATCAACCCTCTGATCATGATGCACGCGATCCGGCATCCCTGAACGAGTGGAACTCACCGCCATGCACGTCTGGCATCCCTGGTTGTCAGCCGCGTTCGTGCAGAAAACGGCGCTGCCGGTGTTCAGCAGGAAGCCTCCGATCACTCCGCTGCCTCCGTTGTTCCCGTTCTGAAACGATGCTCAAAATCTCAGATTCTCGTTACGCTTTAGGGACTTTTTTTTTCGGGAAGCCCGATGTTTTGCCATTTTTGCATTCTCTGCCATTTTGCGGTTTTTTTCTCCACGTGGCACAGTCATGTGGGTCGCCAACCACGAGTAAAAAAAAAAAAAGAAAAACTTTCTAATTTTTTAAATTACACTCACAAACAACTCTCCATTTTCTCGAGTTTAATTTCCCCTTTTGGCGTCAGCGAAGGCTTCAAACTTTATGCTGATTATGCTGATTAGGCTAATTAGGTCACATTTAGGCCTCATCCTTCTTCATCGACAGCCTCCTTGCTTAGAGTAAGAAGCGCGTGGGATCGCGGGAGATGGGATAAGAGGCGAATGGGGCCAAAAGTACTGGTAAGTACTACGTTGTACCGCTGGGAAGTGCAATTATTGGCTAAATCAGCGTAATTCATGAATAAATGAGCGTAATTTAACGAGTCTTGGAGACATTTGAAATTCGATATTCGTGAAATCGTCGTTTGCAAAAATACTCGTGCCAAATGCTGCACAAGTATTCACGAATAACAAGGATGACTATCTCAGGATGCGCTGATCTTTTGGCCTTATTTTGCAAAAAAACATATCTATGGGGATTTACAATGAGTGTGACTACCATTATTAGCTTGTCATTTGAAACATATGTGCCAAAAATCATATTGGAATATTACGAACTTCTCCGAATTTGGATGCTTTTTCGCAGAAAATTTGGAAAAATATCGCTGGTTATTAGCGCATTGAGCACTGACGAGACTAAATCAGGACTTCAAGGACTCGCTCAATAACGACATTCTGACCATCGCACCAAAGATCGGCGTCTCTGTCAATTACTGGGGAAGAGTCGGTCTGAATTACTCGCCCCAGTAACCATTTTATGGTTACTGATGATAGACACTATTTATTTTAGAAATAGTGTCTATCATCTGGAAAGTTTCATTTTGAGAAATATGACATTCCTGCACATCCATTAAATTAGAAAGAGGCTCGTACAGGGTGTCTCGGAACTGTTATATTTGTTTATTCGTTGTTCCTCAAATATTGATCGCTCATCAATATCCTCAAATATTGATCGCTCATCAATATCCTCAAATATTGATTGCTCATCAATATCCTCAAATATTGATTACTCATCAATATCCTCAAATATTGATTACTCATCAATATCCTCAAATATTGATTGCTCATCAATATCCTCAAATATTGATTGCTCATCACTGTAAGTTGACAGTCTCTTGAAAAATGAAGTGTTTGGCATATTTTGATGTCAAACTTTTATTTCTTTCTCTCAAATTGCCGAAATTAACTGAGCTTACGCCCTATTTTATTGAAAAAGTAATATAAAAGTAAAGCAAAAAAAATATTCATCGGAAAGCAACGTGGAACGACTCATGGAAGAGTTTCCCCGAACCGAAGGAGGCGAAGAAGCCTTTCTAAGGGCATGCAGACAAACGTCTCTGGACTCATCTGACTTCAATCCGTTGAATTGTCAAGGAGAGGAAGTGCATATGTGTCAGCTGTGCATCTTTCACTATGTGTAAGAAATACATAAACATGCAAATTGAGACGTTGAACAAGACTATGCATGCGGTCTATTCTTTTCAAAAGAAAACCCAAAAATTAAGTAATGATTCACCATCTGTCATTTTTTATATTATATCATTATAGATATTATGTATATTATTATTATGTATATATAGATATATATATATTATGTCAATATTCCCTGTAATGAACGCGAATATCTTTTATCCAAGAGACTTCAAGTTAAACTTACATTTCCATAGAGATTGAGTTTTGTAGAACAAAGGATATTTGAAAAACTTCACTTTTCTTAAGATTTATGGGTGCCACTGGGCCATATTTTTTCATAATCCCTTCAGTCCAATATGACTGAAGGCAAACTTAAAAAGAAAATGTTTTTCCCATTTTTCCAATAGTACGGAGAATAGGTGAAAATATCATCAAAATCAGAAAAAATAATTCTTCTTCGTAGCATGTTGTGTCACTCGTCGACAGTCCGACATTTAGTCCGACAGTCGGACTAAGTGTGTCGAATCGTGTTCCGGTCGATAATTTCAGAGCACGCCACAGTCTCGGACTCGAAGCACTCAAAGCATACCCACTCTCGTGACAAGCGCCACCTGTTCCCATTCAACCGTTAGCCTCCGCCCAAGGGCAAGCGACACGGAATTTCATCTCAATTCTCTCTCAGACGAGCAATTGAGGCACCGATTGAGGCTTTCTCATCGAAAGTTTCTCCATGAGAAAGAAAGAAATATTCCACAGGTTCAGTTAGTCTCCAGTGCATAGTGGAACGCATAGCCTCGGCCGCATAGTCCCTATGCACTGTAGAGCGCATTTTTCTGCCCAAAACCACGACTTTGGATTGCATGGATTGCGTGAGGCACTTAAAAAAAATTTCTCTCAGTCATCAAAAGTTATTCCATCGTTTAAGCCTCATAGAGGTTATGGAGCTTATAAAGGGTTGCCAAAAAAAAACTTTTTTCGATTCTGAGCCAAGGCGTTTATGAACAGCAGATTAATTCCATTTGACTAAGTAGTGTAAGCGTCTTTTTTTAAAATCGGTTTTAGCGTAATGCAGCATAACAAAACGTATTTCTTCAAAGACTCAATAGTTTCAGATTAGCAACAAATCGGAATAAAATTCTACTTCATATCCCTCCGATTGTCTGGACTTACACGAAATACGACCGCCCACCGATATCCTAAATGATCGATGAACCACCAATTATTCCAATTTATCACATCTCTAAAATCGTGCAAATCTATTTTCTTCAAGCCTATTCATCTTAACTTCGCAGAAATACTAGGTTGTAAAGAAAGTTTTTGTGCATAAATACGAAATTTATTTCAGCATCATTTTCTAGATAAAATTTTTGTTTTGTTTATATACGTATTTGGTATCATTTTGAAGCGGGTTTTATGCCGCGTATAAATATATGTTGCTTTTTTTCCAAATCGCTGAATTTATTTTAAAAAATTACAGCGTTCAGAATGTGTGACAAAAAAATCGGGCTTCGCGGACTATTGCGTTGTTTGTATGCACAAAAACTTTCGTTACAACCTAGTACTACGACCTTGAAGCAATTGAATTTTTAACTCTGCCCTCTACGTCAAAAATAAAACTGGAGAAAAAATAATATTTGCCCCTTTACCTCTTCAGCATTTATCGTCAAATGGGAAACAAGAAAACAGGACATCCAATCCTGAATCCGGAAGACATATTGGGTCCTGGCACGCTTTTTGGACAATTTGAACGTCTGAGGAGTTCTCTGAGCCGTTTCATTTAGACACCCGACACACCGCGAAACGAGTCGGTCACAGATTTCAATTTTCAGGTTCGAAATTCGACTTCCACTATTGAATCCCGAAAATTGCTCAAGTCCTCTCAAAAATCAATAGAATTGTTTTTTAGCCACACGCAAAATGTGAAAGACACATTTTGCAGCTTTATTGTGAATTCAAACATGTTACCATATAATTATAAATATCAACTTATTTGATGGACATGATGACGGCTTCTGTTGCTATCGAAATATGCCATATATGACACATTTGGTTCTTCCAGCAGGGCGAAATTATTTATGCCTAAAACATCAAGACATAAAAGGTTTCTAAATTTCCCCCAAATTTCTCGGTTTTCCGGCTCTAACTGGAAAAAATTCAGCACTTCGAGTGTAAATGTAGTTTGATTACAGGGTAAAATGCGGGTGACTAGCGTTTAATATATCAGAATTATAAAGGATGGTATAAGTCGGTATTTGTAAGGAAATGCAAATTTATCCCATTACCAAGAGTTTCTAAGACGGCTGTCAGGCACAACTCGAGAGAAATATTTAATCGTACCAAGAAGATCGGCGAGGCCAGCAGCGACGCGGGCGAGAGGACGAGGAGGAGGAGCAGACCGACCTCCATGTCTGAACTTGACCTTGTCTGAGCGAAGACTGACTTCCCGCTTCATTCATGCTGTCCCCTGGATGGGGTCCATCCATCCCCCCCCCGCGTGGCGACAATGCGATTCTGTGAATGGACGCGTTGCACGCCCTTCCTCCTTCCGCTTTCGCATTTACATAGAAAAATTCCTTCCTTTCACCCTTTGACATTGAAAATGTTTCAAGTCATCCTTACAGCGCTTCCGCACACAAGTGATGCTTCTTTGAAATAATTAAAGCGTGAACTACGCCTCATTGTCGCCGGCAATTTAAAAAAATGCAATTATGAATCGAAAAGGCAAGCAGTTCGCATGATATAGTGGAATAAAACCTTTCGCTCTGCTCGGAGTCACTTCAAGAAGTGACTTAAAAAAATTAATGAGTAATCGTCACTTCTTTCATCAAATAATCGAAGGATTAATCGCATTCCCAAGGAAGGATGAACATTTTCCCCTTGAAATATAGGCCTTGCTTCAGCCCTAGTGTCCTCTGAAGTGGAGACATCTATCGTTCAAACAAGGTTCCTGCTAGTAAAGCGAGATGGCGCCTAAATGTTTCATCGGTGTAAGAGAGTGATTCTCCATAAACCCCAAGTACCTTTAATATTTTCCCACGGACAACTTCTGCAAGGCCACTCGAATCCCCCAACGCTGATGATAATTTCGTTTCCCCTCGAGGAATGTCGATTCGCGAGGGAGATCATCGTCAGGGGGAAGACGACCGGATGAGCGACGGATGAGGTCGCATTTGGGTTTCGAAGAGTGAATACTCTCTTGTCGTACTCGCTGGAGCACTCAAACAACAATCAAACAACAATCAGCAATCATGTACAAGCAGAGAAATTTGTTCCTGACAAATATTACTCCGGTATTGGCATTAAGTCGATATTGATCCAATATTGGCATTAATACTCGTAAAAGCATTGGACCCACATTGGCCTTAATACTCGACCAGTATTGGCCCAGGACCGATTTTCCATTTGACCAATATCGAACCGTTTCATTCTGATCTGACGTATTCGATCGCCAGAGATCGCCAAGAGATCGCCAAGAGATCGCTCACAGATCGCTCTGCTCGAGGAATGAGGACGCAGATGATGGCTTTTCCGATGTTCAGCGCATCTTCCTCGAACATTTTCTCACTGCCCGCCTGCGGAGGGGAAAATTTGACACTCGGTGCAGTCCTGTAAATTACAATGGATTTTTTTTTTCACTGGGACTATTGTCCTAGTAGCACATTCTCAGAGACTATTGTCCTAGCAGGACGCTCCCAGAGACTATTGTCCTAGTGATGCGTTAACAGCGGCATTGCGCAGCGAACAAATCCTTTCCGCCTGCAAATGCCTCGCTGCTCGGGAGCCGAATCCACCATCGAATAAATGGAATCTTACAATCAAACTGCTCCAATAACCTGGAATCCTTCAATTTTTGCCTCTCCCGATGGCGGGATTGCGTTGATGATCCAAATCTTCTCACGATATTGGGATTAAGCAAGTCTTGATGATTTTAGCGAAACATTCCTATTTTTTAAAATTAAATTAAACTCATGAATTTAATTTTTTAATTCAAAGTCCTGAACGGGAATATTCAGGAAGCAATTGCCATTGAATTATCGACCCACCCTCCCAGAAGTGGAAGGGCGAAATCGTCATTGAGAATTCGTGAGCACTCACCGAGAGGACGCCGCTCACGGGGAGGACGTCCCTCACTGCGAGGACGTCGGCGCAGGGGGCATAGGGACTCCCGAAGAACCTCCGGATGCAAACGGCCATGCTGTCCATGTACGGCGCCGGGCTGATGACGTTCAGGAATCCGCCGTCCTGCAAATATTTCGGTCTTTTTTCTTGGAATTCGTGGTCTCCCCGCGAAAAAGCTGAAACTCCAAACCGGTTTTCCTCCACTGCATTTAATTCTCGAAGGAGAATAAGAGATAATAAGAAGTGCTCCAGCTTTACCTTGCTCAACTGGGTACTTGAAGAAAAAATTTCTTTGTGGCCTTTTAGCTATTAATTTCCCAAACCCTATCCCCCCCCCCACAAGTTCTAGGATTTATTGCATAAGGTCATACTTTCTGTTATGTTTGACGAGTTTTTGGTTATATTTCATGTTCATATATATGAGCGGATTTTAGCTCATATAAATCCGCCCTCTGAATATGCACATCGTCGACTCTTCTGCGTCATCCGGATGCTGCTCGAGTCGGACTCACCGCCATGCACGTCTGGCATCCCCGGTTGTCGGCTGCGTTCGTGCAGAAGGCGGCGCTGCCGGTGGTCAGCAGGAAGCCTCCGATCAATCCGCTTCCTTTATCGTTGCTGTTCTGGAAAGATGTGTAGTCGTGAACATCAGGTGAGCCTTCAGAGAGTTCAGTCAGGTTGATCAGATCATATTTCAGTTTTCAATACTTTTCACTGCTTGCCTTTCTCCTCCAGTATTCCAGCTCTACCTCTACACAACCTCTAATATGCCTTGCCGAAAGAGAACTTCGTGCGTCTGTGCACCATTAGCTACGATCAAATCACTGCAACTGTTTATTTAAAGCGCATCTAAAGCGTCAGTACTTAAGATGATTCTGGAAAAAAACAAGTTCAGTGTTACAATATACGTACCGTTAGTCCAGGATGAGGGATTAGGTTACCAGAAGGCCTAATGAATTAGGGATCAGGTTCAAAAGCTCGGAAAACAAATTAAACTGTACCAATGAGGAGAGGGGTGAGGCGAGAAGCGACGCGGGCGAAAGGACGAGGAGGGAAAGCAGACCGGCCTCCATGTCTGAACTTGACCCAAGCTAGAGCGAAGACTGACTTTCCGCTACATTCATGCTGTCCCCTGGATGCGTCCTTTCATTCCCCGCTTGGCGACACTGAGATGTGGAATTCTATGAATGGATGTTTTCATTCCCTTCTATCTTCCGCTTTTCCTATTGACATTTCCTCTTTTCATCCATTTATTTTGAAAACGTTCCTGAACGCTCTTTCATCTCTCCCGCGCACAAGTGTTCCCATTCAAACGAGCACCAGATGCATCACTTCACGAATATCTTTATCATTTATCTCATCTTTATCATAAGACTGTTGCTGCAAGCAATCAATTAATCGAAACTCAATCACAAAGCATGCACTTTTGGTTATTTTGCACGCTATGCACTGAAATTGTAAGCAACAAATGGTATTCAGGGCGAAATTCGAAAGCCAAATCCATGTTCAATCTCTTTCAATTTGTAAAGACGCGACATGAACTTCAACTGATTAATATTTTGGCTAATTTAATTAAATCGGCAGGCTTAAGAATGATTTATAATGGAACCTATCCTGTTCCTGTCATGAGGACAAGGGAAAGGAAATATGTTTTTGATTTTCTCCAGAATTTTTTCCCTTCATGGTTGTACCGATTGTCCTTTTGGATACGAAACTATTCATACAATTCTGTACTTCGGTGCGATACTTCGACGAGAATAGCAGAAATGAATGATTCGCGGGAAAAAATGCAACGATTTATTGGCAAATGCGGAATGGCCTGATACATTTTTGCCATACAGATTCGAATCAGGTGAAGGAATTACCGACTCAAGAGAAAACAGGCAGGGAGTACTCGCTGCAGTACTTTGCTCCAGACTGAGACACTCGTAATAACGCAGGATAACTGTCAAGATAGCCACGAGAAATGCTACATGAGTAGATTTTAAAATTAGATTTGGATAGGAAAAAAAATTCCCAGAAGTCCACCCAATACGTAAGGAAGGGACACCATTAAACATTTTTCTGCATCTCGTGCTCGTGCAGATTTCTATTTAGCAATCCATGGACGACTCGAAGAAACGAAGTCCAAGAATCGCTAGGAGTGCGGGATCCTGCTGACGGCCAGTGACAAGAGGAGCAGGGTAACTGACGGCCAGTGACAAGAGGAGCAGGGTAGCTGACGGCCAGTGACAAGAGAAGCAGGGTAGCTGACAGCCAGTGACCCGAAGGAATCACGGTGCTGCTCGGGTAGTCGTGGCTTGGGTTGTGGTCGAGGTAGTTGTGCTAATGGTTCCCTATGAGGAAAAAAAATTCATTAAAAGCATTTTTGAAACATAGCAAACGAAAGAAAAAAAATTCAAGCATGAATTTTGAAGAAAAAAATTTTTTTCTCCGGGAAAATTTTTCTGGATAAAAGTTTTTGAAGGACCTCATTTCGCATTCGAGGAAGGATCGCTAAAGAAAGATCGTAAAAGACTCACGGATCCCCCGATTTTGGGAACGAGGACGCAGGAGATGGCTTTTCCGACGCCCAGCGCATTCCCTCCGAAAATCCCCTGGCTGCTCGACTGAGGATGGGAAATTTGGGCTTTGGTTTCAACGTAGAAGACAATGTTCTCAGGGACCATTGCGCGTGTAACAATGTTCTCACAGATCAATGCGCGTGTAACAATGTTCCCACTGACCATTGCCCTTGTAACAATGTTCCAGGATACCATTTTCCCATCCACAATGCATTTTTACCATTAAATTATTCATTACTTCACTGGGAAACATATTTTTGTATCACTAACGTCTATATTAATCACTAAGCGTCCATTCCTGAAGAAGAATCCAATCGCAGCAAGTTCAAGCAAATGAACGTTAAAATTTCTAGATGAAAAAAAGTTATGCCTTCTTCTCATTCAGACTCGACCCAAGTATTGCTGATGTTGAAACAACAATCCCATTACTTTAATTAACTTCATTATATATTATTATATATTTCTGTCTGGGGGAACACCTGAACGCGTGCAAAATTTCGAGCAATGGGAAAAAAAAAATCGGCTTCGCTCATCCGTGAGTGCTCACGCTCACCGTGAGGCCGTCGGCGCACGAGGAGTACTGGCTCCCGAAGTACTTCTGGATGCAGTTGGCCATGTTGGTCGTGTACGGCGACGGGTTGAAGATGTTCAGGAGGCCGCCGTTCTGCAAAATATCGGGGAAAATGGATTTGATTCGACCGCAATTTTCGTGAATGCGAAAAGAGTGGTCGAAGTCGGTCTCCCTGGAATGACCTTTAATTTTGGTCTTTAATTTTAAAGGACGGGATTGGAAGCGTCTGGAGGCAGTGGGATGGAAATCCGGTTGGGTGGATGGTCCATTGCAAGATGCGTTCGAGGGGGGGGGGAGGCTTGGTCGATTGGTTTGACGTGATTGGAGATTGGCTTCGAATGGGACCAAGGGCCAATTGGCCTCTAAGGGGACTGAGGGCTAATTGGTCGCCGGAGAAAAAATTCGTAATAATTGCATGAATTCCAGGGAGACCGTGGCTGCTTCCAGTTCCTTATAATAGCTCCTGTTTGCACGATTTGAGAGTTGGGGCATCATCAGCGGATTCGTCTGATCCGGCATCCCTGATTGCGTCGGACTCACCGTCATGCAGGTCAGGCATCCCTGGTTGTCGGCCGCGTTCGTGCAGAAGATGTTGCTGCCGGTGTTGAGCAGGAAGCTGCTGATCGCTCCGGTGCCTCCATTGTTCCCGTTCTGGAATGGGGATTTCCTTTATGAGTCTCAGGCCAAAGACAAAAAAATGACTTCATTCTCGAAAATATTCGCACAAACGACTCATATTATTGAAATAAGTTATTCCCAGATAAATTACGCTTTTAAAGCCAATTTTTAGGATGAGGCCAATTTTTAGGATGAGGCCAATTTTTAGGATGAGGCCAATTTTTAGGATGAGGCCAATTTTTAGGATGAGGCCAATTTTTAGGATGAGGCCAATTTTTAGGATGAGGCCAATTTTTTGGCTTCATCGTTCTCCACCTCTTGCTAAATTCTCTTGCCCCGAGTATATTGATAGATGATCCAATCGGGCAAAAAGCTAGAGACGCCGAAAAACTTCAAAACAGAATTAGGTAAGAATCGCGTTGGACCTTCGGGCGTCGGACCGCGGCAACCCTGCTCCGAGTCTGGACGATTCTTGCTCCGCATGAGAAATACGGAAGGCCATGCAGACAAGTTGATTATTTGCGTGGCGAAAAGTTCATCAAGAATTCTCAGGGATTCTCCTTTCCGATCCGGTTATTATTCCCTTCCTTCCTTGCCATTGGAAGTGCGATCCCACGCGATTCTTACTCTGTTTTTTAATTGAAGGACGACTCGTGTTCTGTATTTTTTATTATTGAGAAACGGCAATTAGCCTAATATGCACTTGTTAACACGTTCCCGGTAAATATATGATCAATTTTGGCGAGATTAGAATTTTGCATGAAGGAGCTGAAGTTGTTCAAGAACGGACCCATTCTTGGCATAATAAAAATAAAACGCCTTAGAATCGCTTTCGCTTTCACAAACGAAAATAACACAGAGAAGGGCAAGGTGTATCATTGGGACTCCGCCTAGCCCGTTAATCATCTCTGCCAGTCGCCATGAAGGACCTCGAGCTCAGACGACTGTTAGCACGAGTCACGAGCGACAAGTTGGTCGTTCTTGCCCGAATTTCCCCAGTAACTTTTGTTCCAGAGAGAGCTGAATGAATCGGGTCCTGCGCGGGCGCTGTCGGAAGTTGTCCCCATGGGGTCCGACAGTCGGATCTGAAGTAGGATTGTGTTTCCTGCTGTTTTTTTTTTTTGCAGAGCATGCTACACTTTAGCATTTGGAGTAAGCACATTCTCGGGACCAGCGCGGAATGCTCTTTTTGAGCTTTTGCTAAGATTCCTATCATAAGAAACTATTCTTTTCTGCAGTGCCATGCCCATGCTAAAAGCCCATTTAGAGTTCAAAGAAATTGGATTCCTTACTTCATTTCCCCATAGATTTTATTGGGATTTTTTTCTTCAAATTTCAAATTTCATGCGAATTTTAAATAGTTGGTGATTTAAAAAATATAAGGCTTTTTTGTTAGATGAAATATATAGAGAGACCTCTTAAAAAATAATTTTATTTATTCATTAAGTAGGCTTCAGTTCCCATTCAAACATGAGAAAACATTCATGCACTTGGTTTTTATTTTATTAAATATTTTATTTTATTCTGTCGCTAAAAAGGGAAATAATCTGAACTCGAATTGAAGCTTCATTTCTGCAGAATACGTGCCTGCCTGATCTCAAAAATGATTCCAGAAATGCAACTTGATGCATTCACTTCCACAAGGTTTCGTCCATTCGTCCGTATTAGATGATTTTACCAGAGTCAGATTTTACCAGTACCTACAGGGGATCAGATTAAAAATAAATTGAGTCGTACCAGAAAGGAGAGGAAAGGCGAGGCGAGCAGCGACGTCGGCGAAAGGACGAGGAGGAAGAGCAGACTGGCACCCATGTCTGAACTTGACCTTGTCGGAGCGAAGACTGACCTCCCGCTTTATTCGTGCTGTCCCCTGGACCCTCCCATCCCGGCGTGACGATGAAGAGCGATATGGCAATTTATGAATGGATTCCTGTATGACGCCCTTCCTCCCGCTTTCGCGTTGGCATTGAAAATATCTCTTTTTTTATCTTTTCAATGAGAAATTATGCGTTCTAGGAATCTGAATGCAGAACGATCTGCCAAGGTCAGAGAGCTTATTATGGGAAAAATGATTCACTCTTTTGCGTCGATGGAATGAATTGCTCGCTTGATGTTCGGCGACCACAAAGGAAGCATCGGAATTGTACTTTATGCAGGATGAAGCGCCCAACGAGAACCGCCGTGTCTGAACTTGACCCAAGCTAGAGCGAAGACTGACTTTCCGCTTCACTCATGCTGTCCCCTGGATGGGTGATCTCGTCCCCGCGTGGCGACAGTGAGATGTGGGACTCTTTAGAGTCCCACTATCCGCGCCTTCCGCCTTCCTATTGACTTTTCCCGTTTTCCCTCAATGTGTCTGTCTTCTTCAAGTCATCACTTCGTCGAAATTCAATCACAAAACCGTAATTTTTGGTTATTTTGCGCGCTCTGCAGCGAAATTGGGAACTATAAAATGTTCACTGGGGAAATTTTGAAGTCGATCTGAATTCAATCGAAATCAAATAAGTTTTTAACTCACGACTTTAACTTCTTATAGAAAGATTAAGTTCATAAGGATAATTCTTTAAGGATAATTCTTAATGGACCTGATCTCTTTTGCCTTTTGAGAATGAGGGAAAGGAAAAATCGCAGTTCTTTCAGTAATGGGTGCTGCATAACGTCGTGGTGGGTCTATACGAAACTATCCATGAAATTACGCAGATGCGAACCAATACTCATCATTAACATATATTTTTTCGTTCTTTCAACGAAAAATTATGCTTTCCGGGAATTTCGGAGCAGAACGATCTGCCAAGGTCAGTCTGCCTTTTATATGCAAAATTTACGCAATTTTTCCCTTTTTTTTTTTTGCTCCAACGAGATGAATTGCTCGCGTGACACCCAGTGAGCACGCAGGAAGCACCGAAATTATACTCGTTCCAGGAAGAGCAGGATGAACCGTCATAACAAAAAGGATATGAAAAAACTCTCCCGATCATAAAATTCGACGATGACATGACAATGGAGTTTTCACGTGATGTTATATGTTTTCACGTAAGCCTTCGAAATTTGAAACCAGACCGCATCAAATAATAGGTGGCAGAGCCGTGCGAACCCAATGCAACCCTGGCACAGGTTCATCTGGCAACCCTGGTCCCTCTGCTCCACACATCTCTTCGAGTCTCGCAAGCGTTCCGTCACCCACGAAGGCTGGAAGGAAACTGACCTCCTTTCTCGCTGACCCCCGGCCCCGACCCAGGCCCAGGGCCGCGCATGCGTACTGGGATCGGACCCGCATCCAAGAAGGCCGGTGATAGAAATTCATCTTGCCTGTATGGCTTTGCATGTCGCTCATATTCTTCCGGCAAGACTCCAAGACAGGAGGCATCTCGTAGACTTGTAGACTCATGCATGCAACTTAGAGGGAGAACTCTCCAAAGAGAATTCCCGGAGAACGAGGCGGAATTCGCAGATCGCGGAGGCTCGCGGATTCGTTGTGGCTCCGCGAACAAAATATCGCGAGCAAAACGTCGCGGGGAAAGAACATCGCGAGGCGATAGCATCGCGCCATGTGGATTTCGCGCAAGTGAATTTTAATTTAAGGCAAGTAATTTAGTTTGAGTCACTGTTACCTGTAAGCTGCGGCTTACTCGGGTCGAAGCTTACTCGGGGTGGCAGCAGCGTGGCTGAGAACTTAACCCAATACACCGCCACCGTACACACTTCACACTTCACAGGGAACA